CACCCCCACCTCAACCAGAAATCGTTTCCACGAGATTTCCCCCTTGTTTTTTATATCGTTTTTTGATATACCCCAAATAACTATTTTTTGAAAAATTGCTGAGAGAGACAGATTGACAAACAAATTATTATCTTTATGAAGAATTCCTAACAGCACCTGTGCAGGCGTATTAAATAACATTGTAACACTCAGCCCTGCTCGTTTCAACACACGCATATTATCATTTTGCACAGACCATCGTTCCTTTCAACTTGCTTATTCCAGATGGAAATAATCAGAGCCATACAGGAAGAATTCCTTCATGCTCCCCAATACGTCGGTCCGCACATGCTTGAATCAAAATCTGCCAATTGACAGCACTTCCGATCAGATACCGGAGAGAGGCGTTTAGTCTTTCACGCGCTGTGTATATCGATCGTGAGTGCTGTTCAGCTCCAAGTTGTCGTAGAATTTCTTGCTCGACCGTCTGGAGGGTCTGGAGGTCAAACCTTTGTCATGTGAGTTGAGCTTTGGAAGGAATCCACTCTGGATACCATTGTGTTGTAGCGAGCTCGCCTGTCGCCTCCGCGATAGAGATTCTGAAACCCTGCAGATTAGACAGATTGACATTGGATATTTGAATATGATATCATTAAAGCATAGTCCACGGTTTTAGATTTGACAGTCCAGCTAAAAAGCTCCGAATTGTATTTTAAAAACTAAAATAACAATGATCGATCAGTTAGCCTACTAAAAAGTTAGAATGAATTGGGTTTATATACGTGCATATCCTTGCTAGTAAGTGGGTTCAACGTCCTTTAAAATAATATCAATATCTCAAATGCATCGTTGGGGTGGGTGTGGGGTAGGGATGGTGCGGGTTAGAGTTAGCGTGGAGGCGAGGTGAGGGTGGAGATGGGGATGGGGTAGCCGTTGGGTGTGGTGAGTTTTATTTCTCACTCTCACCATCAGAGAGCCTGTAAAAAGTAATCCAAGTTCTACGTCAATAACAATGACTATCACCACCATAATCAGAACAGCTACCACCATCACCACCACCACCACCTCAACAGAACGAATCAAAACACAATGAATAGATACGACATACAGGAACTAAACATGTTGGGCCAAAAACTGAACCCATACAACTACAAGACAAGAGCAAAGGAAAGGAAAAACACAGGAAAACGAATCGTGCATTGACAAACAGTGTAAACTCTGCAATCAAGTAATGAGCAAGTAAATCATAGATGGAAAGAAAGACAATCGGGCCACTGATTTAGCTGCCTCAACGCCATTAACAAAGATGCTATTAACATGTCATGCAAATTCTCACAAAACTGATTGCTCTACCAGCCGGTTTCCTGTTTTAATCAACAGAGAGCACTTCAATGGTATGTAATCTTTTTCTTGTCATGTCTGTCTGATTGCCTTTCTCGCTCTCTCTGCCTGTCTCTCTCTCTCTCCCACTCTTAACTTCTCTATCTTTTACTTATGTATTAATTAATATGTTCCTATCTCTCTCCTTTTCTCAAATGCTTTCTATACCATTCTCTCCTTCTCTCTCTCTTTTACTTATCTCTCTCCCTCTCTCTCTCTCCCTCTCTCCCCCTTCTCTCTCTGTGTTTGTGTCTCTGTCTCTGTCTGTCTGTCT